CGACCTTTTAAAGTGTTGAAGAGCAAAGATGTCAGTTTGAGGACTAAGGAGCCCTTGACACAAGCCATTGTATTTTAAATAACCTCATATGCATGTGAAAGCTGGACAGTGAGTAAGGAAAACCGTGGAAGAATTGATGCTTTTGAGTTATGGTGTTGGAGGAGAATATTGAAAGTGCCTGGGGCTGCCAAAAGAACCAATAGATCTGTTTTGGAAGAAGTGCAACCAGAGTACTTCCTGGAGGCCAAATTGGCCAAACTTCATCTCTCATACTTTGGATATATTGTCAGAAGGGACCAGCTGCTGGAAAAGGATATCATGTTTGTTAAGATAGAGGGCCAGATAAAAAGAGGAAGACCCCCCAATGAGATGGACTGACAAAGTGGCAGCATCAATGGGCTCAAGTGTGGCAATAATTGTGAGGTTGGCTTAGGACCGGGCAGTGTTTCGTTCTGTTGTACATAGGGTCGTTATGAGTCAGTACCGACTTGATGGCACCTAACAACAACAAATTCACAATAGCCCAAAGGTCAAGGCAAACTAAATGTGCATCAACTAATTAATGCATAACCGAAATGTGGTACACATATACAATAAAATGAAGTCTTGATACATGTTACAATATGTATGGAGCTTGAACATATTATGCTAAGAAAAATAAGTTAATCACAAAAGGACAATTATTGTGACCTCACTTAGAGAAAAAGAACAAATATGCAAATGAATAGTGACCAAAATTTATTCAAGGCAACCAGGGACAAGGGGGAAGGAAAATGATATAACAATGACCAAAAATCACATTAAATAATGATTCGTTTTCACAACTGATCATTATAATTGAGGGCAATAAGTAGTACAAATATAAAAAGTTGAATTTGCAAAAGGTCTATGGTACATATACTTGCACAGTTATGATCACAAAAATGTATAGCTGCTGAGGCTGTGTATGTACAACAAACTCCTCCTGGAACTTGGTCCCTTGGTTTGGAGTTTTAGCATCATGGCTCTTTCTAGTTCATTGACTTAATAATGTGTTTAGTACTTTGTTGTATCCCCTAGTTCATTTGCAGTGCCTGAAGTCTTAAAAGCTCACAAGTGGCCATCCAAGATACAACAGCTGGACTCTATATATATCTAGAGCAACAGAGGAAGAAGGAAAGTTAGGAATAGGAGGATACAAAATGTGTGGCTAATCGTCTCTATGAAAAACTCCCTCTTTTGCCATGAGATCAGAAAAAACTGAATTGCTTAGCTCCCATTTTGATGAAAGAGCCATAGAAGAATCCTGATTAAATGGAGAAAAATGCAGAGCAGAATTCCAAATTCTCATGGGCTCTAGATTTTCTAGAGCCATGGAGGGCAGATGAACCCCTAAAACAATTGTCTTGCAATAATCTTTAAATCTTAAACCAAATATTCCCTGATGTCTTCTGAAGAGCAAAAAAATAAGATTAGCTTAACTAGTAAAAAATGTCTGCCTAGAGCATTACAATCTTTTGAACTATCTACATGAGATGAATGTAACAGCAGCAACTCAAAAGGTTAGATAGGAACCTTATGGAGACAGTGGATTTAAGTTCATTGAAGACGAAGAACTCAGAAAAGGAGGTGGAGAATGGTTGCACCACTTTAAGAATATAATCATAGTTGTTAACCTGTACAGGTAGAAACTGATTGTTTTTTAAAAAAAAAGATGTGATATACAAAACACTAGGAAACTATTTTAGAGAAGAAAAAGGAGGGGTGTTAAGATAATTATGATAAACGTAACTAAATACAAATCCAATTATTTAATCAATTTATTTAAATTAA